CCCGGACCAGTCTATTAGTTTTTCAAAATGCTGTCGTAGACCTGATAGATGTACTGAGAGACTTCGGGAGCTCTACATTTCAGCGACAGTGTATAATTTGGGTTTCCTGGCTGGATACGTAGCTCAGCCAAAATCCAAATACCATTCGTGAGCTTCAGGTATTGGTACAGCATGTCCTGCCCTTCCACATTCCTCTTGGCAATAGTATAAACATTGTTGTTTTGCAATTTGCTGGAAACAGTGTCAGCATTTAAATGACATTCCTTAATCTGAAACTGAAGTTCATTTTCATTGGGAATATCCTTCCATGTGGCAAGGAAGACCTGGTGCTCCATTTTGCCATCTTCTACAAAAAGCACATTGAGTGGGATGAGGCAGCTGAAGTAAAAGACATCAATATTGTTTTTCACAGCCACCTGCAGGTTATTCAGAGGTTCCCATCTTCATGACTGGGCCCAAGGTGTTGAGAGGCAGGGAGACATCAATGCTCTGGTTTGGCATGAGCGGTGTATGGATGGCCAGAGGAGTGCTGGGGATGACACCAAAGCTATTCTTGTTAAACTGGATTGCAAAGTCTGTCATGTGCTGCAGGGCTTTGTTGGTGAAGTTCATTTCCATATAGATGTGCCCCTGGTGGTGAGTAAATGTTCCGGAAATCTCCAAGCCTTTAGCTTTTACTGCAGGCAGCCAGACAGCCTTAGGAGCCACATATCCACCAGGTGCCATGCCTATTCCTGTGGAGAGTTCAAACAGGTTATTCAGACCACTGCTGACCACAGCAGGAGTAGGTGAAGGAGCAAAGGTTGCAGGCATTGATGAGGGGATGAAGGATTGTCCCACTGCCGGACTTCCTCCAATGCCCCCGCCAAGGTCACTGCCAAGCAGACTATCTAGTCCTCCTCCCAAGAGATCCACTGCTCCCATCTGCATGGAGGACACCTGTGGCACATTGACTGGGGGACCGAGGTCAAGGTTTAAGAGGTCTCCTAGAAGGTCACCTTGGGAGGGGATAACCTGAGGCTGTTCCAGGGTCGTGGCTGTGGTGGTGCCAACAGGGCTGTCACCTGCATCAGTGCTCCCATGATGTATTGGCAAGTGTTTGCGATGGATTCCATGACTTCCTTCCACAAAAGCATTGGGAGGCTTATGGTACACCGAAGCCAAAGATCCAGTGTGGCAGATTAGCTCATCCAGCAGAGTTGGCTCAATAAGATCTGTCTCCTCAGAGATCAGTGGCTTCTCAGACAAGACTACTTCTTTGGCTGTGACAGGGTCCGTTGAGAGAAGGCGCCAATAAATATAGCCTCGGTCTCGAAGGTCAGGATTATCAGAATCCTGTGTTGCCAAACTCAAGACTTGCTGTACCAGCTCCTGTGTTTCTGATGGTTTCTTAAGAAACAGCTTCACGATGGCAGTAAGCAGAGTGAGCTGCACCTGGGTGCTTTCATCATGAAAACCCTCCAGGAAGCTCTCTAGTAACTCATCTGCATTGTCAATTCTCTCAGCATATTCTCCCACAATCCAAATCATAGCTGCTCGAGCGTCTGGTTCATCCAGTGAGTCTAAGTTCTCACACAGAGTGGCAATGATACTTTCATACTTGTTGGGGTATTTGCGAAAGATGTCCCTGATGACGACAATTGCCTCTTGGACCACGTAATTTACTTTGGTCTGGATGAGATCAAGCAATGTGCTTACACAGCGCTCAGCAGATTGCTCCACTTTGATGGCACACCGTCCGATGGCCCGCACAGCCTTGCGAACAAAGTCAACATCCACCTCTGTGGCATATTCCTTTAATTCCGCCAGAACCTGAGCAATGTTAGCTTGGGATGCTAAATGAATCATGATGTCCAGTTTCTCTAGTTTAACATAGATGGGATCATTGTACTTCACAAAGAAGACTTTGATTTCCTGCTTCAAGATTTCAGGCCTTTTCTGGACAGTTAGATTGATATTCCTCAGGGCGACGTACTGCACCTCTGGCTCCCCAGACAGCAAAGTGACAAGTGGAGGGGCCAACTTCTTCAGCAGCATATTGTAGTAGTCGGAGTCCTTGGGTAACAACTCCAGAAACTTCATTAGGACTTTTACCGCTGAAAGCACCACTGCTGAGTTGGCATGAGATAGCCGGGGAGTCACACGCTCACAGATGCTCTGAGCCTCCCGGTCATCTTTAGGGTTGTAATTAGACAGGCAGTCCAAGATGAAAATCTGGCCCCATTCAGTGCACTCATTCAGGGCTGTCAGCAGCTTATTAATGTTCTGTGGGTTCAGATTAAGTAGGTTGCTGTTTGGGTGAGATTCACTGATTTCAGATAATGCTGCTACAGCATTAGCCACCACCATTGGATTTGAATCTGCTATGAGATCCTGCAGAGAATCCAGAAATCCCTGATCTTCTACCATTTGGGCATTGATATCATGGAGTTTTGCCACACAGACTGCTGCTGTTTTCCGAACATAGGGATCTTCATCCTTCAAGCACTTGCGGAGAGGCTCACAGAGATATTCTGTAATCTTGTCCACCCAGATGCACCCCATGGTCCTGACTGCTAAGGCCCGAATTAGAGGATTGGGATCTTCACAGTCCTTCACAAAGCTGTTG